GCTTGTTAAATTACCTAGGCAGAAAAGGGTAATTGGTAACAAGTGGATGCAAGTTGCGAGATCAAGATTCAAGGATTGCTTGAGTTTAACCAAAGTTATTGATTAAAGTTTCAACTTGGTAGAGAGCATCAATGTTGTTGATTGTTAAATTGGTATCAACACGGTTTAAAGTCAAGGTGGAGATTGTTGTAAATGTGCCTTAAAACCTTTGTTGATGAAGAGAAAGAAAATACATTTTGGAGATTGCATTTATCGCGAAAATTAGAAGTTTTAGAAAGTCGGACGAAAAGTAGGGAAAAAATAGTTGGTGAATAGTGATATTTGTCCGAATGAATAGTGACGTCCGTACGGATGAATAGTGTGCCCGTACGATGAATAGTGCTTTCGAGTTTTCGGGATTTTTTGATTCGGTCCATGGATCCATGTGATTTTGGGCTTTGTTTGTTGGGTATTTACTATTATAAATATGTGTCTCTTATATGTTTGGTGTGTGACAATCTTAGAGTTTTCACCAATAAGGGAGACCAAGGGTTTAAAGGTATAGCATAGAGTTTTAGTTATGCACAAAGAAAACCTTAGATTACACCTTGGGTTTGAGTGATTCATATATTGAGAGTTGGAGAGGTAGGGAAACACTTGAGTAGAAAATAGGGTTGTTCTTGGGTGCCTTCAGGGTTGTTTTTGGGAACTTGAAGGCGAAGACTATTTTCTTGTAACTCATATGTAATTTCTTATAACAAATTTCTGAGTATAGTGAATTGGAGAGCTTCTCTCTCCCCCAGAGTAGATCGTTTGATTGAACTGGGTAAACAAACCTTCAGTTTTTTCTTGCCTTATTCTATTATATTATCTGTGTACGGATTATTATTGCTGAATACCATTTATTTTTGTTGCTATTGTTCTTTACCTCACAAATTGATATTGAATTTTTTCATAATTCACAACAAAACCAAACCACACCTCATGTTTTTTTCTCTTGCGATTCGAATAATTTTTAATGTCAAAATTGCCCAAACTGCACCACGAACACCCCAACCTATTAGGTTAAATGAGTTCTTGTGATAATTTCATCTGATGCGGTGGTTCTATCTTTGTATTATGATTGATGATGTGAATTCATGACGATTACTAACATGTTGATTTTATGTTGAGATTTTGTGGATGAGTTGATTCAATACTGAAGTGAGATCAATGAGATAATGTTCTTGCTAATCGATGTATTCATGCATTTGATGGTTAATGAGGATGGTATTTAGAGTAATGGATGTTGAATAGAACATATAAGATAATTAAATATGATAATAAATGGTTAAAACTGAATTAGGATGGGTATAAATTAAATAAATTGAGTTTAGGAGTGAAAATCCCTTGAAAAGTAGAAATATCACGTTTTAGAGTCGCACGGAACACTGTCCATGTTAGCTGACACGGCCGGGACATATTGCTGTCGGGTTCTAGTACTGTTGAAATAAGGAAATGGGGTCTAGGAGTTCTACAGCAGTAGCGGTTCTCTGGTTCTTATACCATGAGTGTAGTCAAGTCTCAACCAGCATTGACTGTTTTGTCTTGCGCATAACTTGAGTTCTGTAAATTCGATTGAAGTGCAGTCAATTGCATTGGAAAGCTAACGCAATAACCTTTCCCATGGTGAAGGAAAATGATATATTGTATCAGTATGGAAGTGTTAATTAATATTAAGGTGTCTTATGAACAAATAACGTGAAAACAGATTAATTATGTTAGTCCTAAATTGCGAATATGATATTGTTGTATCTAGTATTTGATGAATATAAGAGTAACCTAAATTGAGAATAATGTGAGACATGAGTTCTTATGTATGTGTTGAGTTGTTATAGTTTGGACGTGAATTAGTTGTTGTAATTAAGAGTCACCTTGTGAATAGGCAGGGTTGAATATTGATAGTTTAGGTTCAAGGTGAACCAATGTTTAGGCCTAATCGGTAGTGTTGATATGTTTAGGTTAGAAGATAGCCAATATTTATCCCTAACCGGAAATGTTGATATGTTTAGGTTCAAGGCGAACCAAAGTTTATCCCTTACCAGCAATGTTGATAAGTTTATCTTCAAGGCGAACCAATGTTTTAGCTATTATCAGTAGTGTTTATATGTTTAGGTCCACAAGGACCACTGTTAGCCTTAACAGGCAATGTTAATGTTGGCGTATGAGATTTGGATGGAGAATTGCATTTGTTTGTAGCATCATGCATCATGCATATCGGAGTTAGCTTATGACTTTGATCCAGTGCTTAGGAATTCGGTCTAATGTTTAAGACTCTGGTCTAGAGTTTAGGATCACTTAGTAACATACATCTGATATCTAGTGATTGGTACCACATGCAAGGGAGTATAAGAGATTAGCATTGCATATTTGAATTTTGTCGATAAACTGTATTGATTGTAACTTATGTGTATAATATCTTTGTTGTTATTATACTGTTTATATTATAGAATATATTTTTACCCCTTCTTCTTTTCATGTCCATGTATATGTATCTCTGTATAGATGATTCTCATGTCGATACTGAAGGGTGACTGTTGTTGGTTGCTTACGGAAGATGGTGTAGACGATTACTTCCATTGTTTACTTTCATGTTTCGCCAAACTTTAAGTCGACTATTAGTTTACTTTAAAATGAATAGCTCTAATATTGTAACATTGGGGTTGAGATTGTTTACTAAATTCTCTACTTTGTCCTAAACTAAATAATTGACCATTTCTGTGTTTTGAATTTAAAGTATATTTCATAAAAAAAAGTTGAGTAATTGTTGGTGAGACACCCTTATTTTATATTCTCTAAATTCCGCATTATTTTTATAAGAAAAATAAATTTTTATTTCTTGTGGGGGTGTTATGTCAACTATCTTTAAGAGATAAGAATATCACTAGATATCGTTTGATATAAGTTATTGTCATCATCAAAATCAAATAATTGATTGCAGCTTTATTACTAACAATCTGCCACATTAGATTATCATCAATGGATGACTAAAGAAATTGCCAGCACGGAGATATGGAAGAGGGTAGACACGTCGCATATGATGATTGTCATGTTCCCAAATGAAAAATGGAATAAAGAAGTCTCCTTATACCATCGCTCCACAAAAATAAATAACAAATTATCATCAAATACGATGAGCGAACAACAAACCAACAACGTTCACTAAACGTTTCACATCTTCAAGCATCTTCACCCCCATAGATTTTCTCAGCTTTAATGAAACCTTCTTTAGGATGTAATTATGTAACAATTTAATCATAAAAATATAAATGATTTTAATTTAAAGTTAATTCATAAAATCGAATTAAAATATTTATACCTCACTTAATTAAAAGGGATTACAATACTCTATCAGTACTATTAGATCAAAGTGTTCTTTCAATGACTTCTATGTGATCATTGTTGGAAAATTCTCAAAATATATTATATTTTATTCGTTGTTAAAATACAGTCAATATAAAATTATGAATTGAGAAGTAAGTGACCTAGTTGTTGTCATTATAATTACTGTCTGTGGTTCAAATCCTAGTGGAAGTTTTTCCATATATTGTGTCTATTTATCTTCAAAAGTCAAAATTAATGTCAAAAGATGCATCCGCTAAGAGTAAAACTATGGACACATTGGTTGGTAGATAGACACACTTAGTAACACAACTATTTGTGAATTGATGTGCAGTTTTTTAGGTCGAAAATGGCACAAATTGGAACCATTCAAAATATTTTTTCTATCGTCAATTTATACAAATTTTTTTATAAATAGAGACACTTGTTAAACATTAAAATATACGAAAATTATTATTTTAAGTATCAAAAATTATATTTAAGTCATTCTTTTACTTGAGAATATAGTAAGTGTAAATAGTGTGGATAATAATTTCATATTAGTTGAAAATGTGGAGACTTATAAATGGAAGAACCTCTTTACCTATCATCTTAAGATTTTGAGTAAATATGTGGTGTGTCTCTCACAAAGACGTTGCTTTAAAAAAGAAGTCTCACAATGTTAAATGTTCCCTAATAAAAAACTCGTCCAACACAGTATAAATAAGCAAACCTAAAGCTTACCCATTTACATCCAATTTAGTGTAAACACACGATTTAAAATTTATTTTGTGCATCTTTTATCATAACATTTTCATAACACAAAATCTATCCGTTGTCTCTACTACGGAGACCTTATTAATCGTTACATGTATAGTGGTCTAGAAACAATATATGTTCAGACACTTCAACATGTGTCTATATTTCAACATGATCAAGCACCTCATCACCAAATTGCTTAGCAGCAGCACTGATAGACCAGTCACTTAAGCTCAGCATAATGCCATCGTCTCTCGTATGGTTCTCATATTGATTATCAGAGAAAACCAGGTGCCACCCCTGCTCTCATACCGAGTTTTACCAACAATTTTAAAAAGTTCTTAAAAAATATTACTTTTGGCAAATTTGCTATTTTTAGTTCAAATACAATATAGTTTTTTCAGCACATGTGTAGGGTGTGGGGTGCACCTCATGCCAAATAAAATTCTCAAATTATTGACTACATTAATATAGTAATGTTTTCTAATGTAGGTAATCTAGGTACAGAGAAGCCCCATGTTGGCCCATTGTCCTTTTGCAAGTGCCTCAACAAGCATTGGATAAATGAACTTTTTTGTAGAAGTAAAATTCTATTCAAAAAAGGTTGCAAATAAGTTCAAACTTGCTAGAGGCAATGCTAGAATCAAAAGAACTTCAAACTTGGTGTAAAATAAATTCCATCAAAACCTAGGCCTGCATATGCTGCAGAAGGAAAGATATTATATACATCTCAGCTGCAGAAAACCAATGTTGACATGGCCAAGTGAATATGAAAGCAATAATAATACATGGAAAGAATTTGAATCCAATCTAGTTAAAAACATTCTTCTATAGAACCAGAAAATGATCACTAATCTATTTTTTGAGAGCAGAACAATTATCCCTTTCGACATCATCTTAGATCATTGCCTTGCTTCTGGTCCTTCAGAAGTTGGTTGTACGGAGTTAACAGCAGTAGGTTCGATGTGCCTCTCAATATCTGCGTTCCTTTCTGATGTGTGTGGCGGCTCGTCAAGAGGTTGGCTCATGGTGAATGTCACAGGTCTCACGTGTTTTGTTTCGGACGAGTTTTTCAATGGTAGACGGCATACTGGACAGGTAGATTGTTTCCTCAGCCATATATCAATGCAACAAAGATGAAAAGTGTGGCCGCATTTCGGCATGATTCGCAATATTTCTCTTTCTTTGTATTCTGCCAAACATATTACACACCTGTAGAAGCAAACTCGGTTATATTTATCTATTCATTGGTTCTTTTTTCCATAAATTTATTAATCTATCAAGGACCTGTCTAGATAAACAGTTTATTTAAGCGCTTATAACATCATCATCGCTTATATAAAATAATTTTGTACAATTTATTGCTATAACCAAAAGATAAAATAAGGTCAATAAGCTGTTGTTTTCATAAACTGTCTTAGAGAACTTATAGAAATGAGCTGAATACAGCTCATGAACACATCATAAGCCGTTTTCTCAGCTCTTCGAAACAGTCTCGCAAGCGTTTCTGTCAATAGGCCCTTAATCTATCATGTATCTGATAGAACAACAACAACCAAGTCTTGTCCCGAAAAAACTATCATGTATCTGATGTTAAGGAAAATATGAGGAACTTGTTCTCTATGACTTACAATTAATAAAAAGGACTTAACTGTGTATCTTCAATGGAACTGAAAGCCTCTTGATTGAACTTCAAAGTAGGGATTGCTTCAAGCAGAACTGGTTCAGGTTCAGGGTCATTAACATGATGTTCTGGCTATCAGTAAACAATGAAAAATTAAAAACTAAATCACCAAAACTTCGTAACTTACAAAATGACATAAACCAGAAAACAGCTTTGGATAAACAGCTTATTTGCAGCTTAAAACCACAATCACTTATTGTTTTATACAAATAGAATGCAGCATTTGCATCAAACTCAGAAATTTAAAAACAACCAAAAATTGCAGATTTCCTTACTCCACATAAACTTCAAGTATTGGATCAGATTTATAATCCAGAAGTCATTATGAACAAATAAAACTGAGATTATAGTATTGAAAAAAGTTCAATTAAACAAAAAACAGAACAAAGAGTCCAAAGACAACACAAAAAAAGGGGATGGATAGTGAAATTACCTGTTCTATATCATATCTTGATTCAATTTCATACATCATCCTAGATTCAACACCACCTCTAAGTCTTCCACAAATGATTCTTGTACAAACAAAAACAATGAAAGTGGCACTCATGCCAAATCCAATAACAGTTGTCACTAAATTTGTCCCTGAACCCAACATCTCCAACCACAAAAAAAAATCAACTTTCAACAAAACAAAATAATCAACCCTTACAACCAAAAAAACCCACACAAGTCCAAATACACAAAGGGGTTAAATTAAAGCAAAGGAAAACACAAACCCATGTTATTAATATGAAAATTGAAACTTTTTGATGTCAGAGTGAGTATATGAGAAAAGAAAAGAAACCCATATGAAATTTAAGAAGGAAGATGAGATTGAAGGTGGTGGGGGAACAGAAACAGCAAAGGAGAGAGAGAGAGAGAGAGAGAGAGAGAGAGAGAGAGAGAAGTAATAAAAATTGACTCTTTTGATTTTCTCTCACTCTTAGAATATTGTCGGTAGGGTCCACCGTATGAGTCACGCAAATCTAGGGTTCCCTCACCATCCGATTCAGATCCAACGGTTCAATTGTATGTAGAAAATTTCTAATTTTTATTTCTCCAATTATTTTTTAATATGTTGGAGAGTTTTCAATCGAACGGTTGAAAGTGGATATTAATTTCGGCGGCAAAAGATCTTAACGGTAAAGAAAGTGAATTGGAGAGTATGGAAGTAGAAGATTCTAGATTCCCTTCATTTATTTTAGATTTTTTTAAAATTAAGGTGACATTAAATTTAGTTAAATATCTATTTTAAAAAAATTACACGGTCAATATGACAACTTTTAAAATTAAAAAAAGAAATACATGAATTTTAAGATACATTTTAGTATATTTTTATTGTTTAATTTGTATTTTATAGCATACGTTAGTATTTTATTTAAAGAAATAAGTGCATTGTTCTGGAAAAAGTTGTGATACTTTATCTAGATCTTTGTCTTTTTTGTACCGCACTATGACTATCACTTGTTTTTAAATGGGAAGTGCTATAAGATTTTTCACTATGTTGATTTTTTAAATCAATCCTTTTTGGAAAGATTTTTAAACTATTATAAGTTTTAAGAATAAAATAATATTAGACACTTTTTTTTACGAAATAACAACACGTTTTGAGTAAATAAATAATTTAGATATTACATTTTTTGGACATTTTATTGTTAATTTTTCATTCTTTATCTAATAATTTGTTGACATTTTAAAGAATATTAGAATAAAAAACAAATAAATTAATAAATTAAATAATATTTAAAATTTTAAAAATTGAATTCATGCATTATAAATACTTTTTAAAAAAAAACATGTAACTTGTTTTTTTTTTTTTTTTTAATTTTCAAGGAGAATACACATGACCACTAAATCATAATCACCCTGTAAGTATTTGGTAAGAGGTTCTTTTTATAATTCAAGTGTTATAACCAATTAATACAGAGGTGTAATTGGAAAAGCATTATGGGCGTAATCGATTATCAATGAAAGGGAATTAATTTTGTATCAACTATAATCGATTACAGGTACGAGTTTTCTATTTTTCAGTTATTTCTTTATGTAACATGTATCTCAATCATCTTGTAATGCTTTGTATATATACCTTGGAGGTATCATCATCAATGATAATAAAACACACACACACACACTCTCTCTCTCTCTCTCTCTCTCTCTCTCTCTCTCTCTCTCTCTCTCTCAATTTCTCTTTATCTTTCCACACTTTAATTTCTCCATTATTCATCAATTTTGTGGTTTCAAGTTCTAACATTTGACATCAAAAGTTTGGTTCTCATACACAAACACCTAGTATGCAACATGAATTCTAACTCCAATGAAAGAATTCCTACAAACCTACTCATCTTTGATGCGAAGAATTATGACAAATGATACAAACAAATGAAGGTGTTGTTTGGCTACCAAGATGTTCTTGAAGTGATCAAGAACGAGGTAAATCTTTTTGTCGAAAGTGCAACGGGTGCACATCGGGCAACACATAAGGAAGAGAAGAAGAAAGATTTCAAGACGCTACTTTTGATCCATCAATGTGAGGATGATGAAAACTTTGAGAAAATTTGTTATTGTGAATCGTCAAATCAAGTGTGTGAAATCTTAAATAAGACATACGCAGGGGCTGACAGGGCCAAGGTGATGAGGTTACAAACTCACAAACATCAACTTGAATTGGTTCAAATGGATGAAAAAGAGATGATCAATGTTTTCACAACAAGAATCACTCGATTAGTGAATCAAGTGAAGGCATGTGGAGAAATAGTCATTGGGCAGTATGTTATCGCGAACATCTTACGTTCTTTAACGCAAAGATTTGACAACGTGGTTATAGCGATTGAGGAGTCTAAGAATCTTGCGATGGTGAGTAAAGATGAGTTGCAAAGCTCTCTTTAGGCTCATGATCAAAGGATGGAGGAGAGAAATAATGATAAGGAAAAAGAAAAAATCACTTTGCAATCTCGTTTCAACAAGAGGGACAAGAGATCGAAAGGAAAATTGTCCATGAAGAGTAAAGGGAATTTTTAGAATTTTGGTGAAAGAGAGTCTCAAAGTTCCAAGAATTCGACTTGTCAAATGGGTGAGAGCAACTACAAAAAAATGATGGTCAAGGCAACTTTAGAGGTGAAAAGAAGAGGTTTGACAAAATCAATGAGTAATGCTTTAAGTGTCAAAGGTTCGATCATTTTGCAAGAGTGTGTAATGTGAATAAGAAGGAACCTCAAGGAGATGAAGCCAGGGTTGCAAGATAAGAGTTTGATGAGGAGAATACATTTTTGGTCATGATCATAAAAGTTGAATAGAGCATGAGTAGTTTGCGGAACAACAACAATTTTGGGAATACTGCAAAAACGAGATGTAACTGGTTATGGTGACTGTGAGAGAAAGAAAACAGTGCAGTGAGGAATGGTTTTGGACTCGGGATGTTCTACTCATATGATGGGGAGGAACGATTGGTTTGTTAAAATCAATTGTGCCATGAAGAACAAAGTGAATTTTAGGGATGACACCACATTAGCGTCCGAAGGGAGTGGTGATGTTTTGATCATGAGAAGGGATGGTAGACATTCCTTGATCAAAGATGTATTATAAATTTCAGGAATCAAATGTAACCTTCTAAGTATTGGTCAATTGCTTGAGAAAGGTTACAAGATTCACATGGAAAATAAAGGGATGCTCGTTATGGATGCAAATTGGGTTTTGGTCCTTAAATCTCCTATGGCTTCCAATAGAGCCTTCAAGGTTGAATTGGAGTTTATGGAGCATATATGTCTTATTACAGCCGGAAGTCAAGATGGATGAATATGACACTATCGTCTTGGGCATCTCAATTTTCAAGATCTCAGACTTGCAAAAGACCGAAATGTTAATGGAGTTGCCATTAATCAACATACTGACTGAAATTTGTGAAGAATATGTGTAAGAAAAGTAATATAAGGTTAAACTCACCAAGGATGCAGGTTGTAAAACCAAGAATCATCTTGAGGTGGTATATTCGGATGTGTGTGGACCGATTCAAAGAGATCCCATTTTGTGACAATAGATATTTTTTTAGATTCATCGACAATCATAGTAGAAAATTATGGACATACCTAATCAAAAGAAAAGATGAGTTATTTTAAGTGTTTAAGAAGTTCAAGTCCATGGTTGAGAGGCAAAGCAGCTGCAAGCTCAAGGTGCTCAAAACGGATGGGGGAGGTGAATATGTCTCAAAAGGCATTGAGAGGTTTGTGATTAAGAAGAAATTGTAAAACCTTGTACACCACAGTGTCGTGGTGAGAATCAGATTTCAAGCTATTGAATTAACTTGAATCACAAATCATATTCACCATTGATCTTTAATTTATCCAATGGAATGGAAAAAGAACGAATAATCCAAAATATGCAATGCAAATAAAAAGCAAAAGAGAATCTAAGGTTCGGGGGTTGATTATAAATAGAGAAGGTGTTAGCATCCTAAGTAACTATAACACTCTACATGAACCTCTTGTTTTATTGTGTTATTTGTTATTTTGTCTGCTAAAGGGTGAAAAGGTAAAACGGAGACCTAAGGTGTTATTTTTAAGTATGCTCGCCAAGACATCACATCGCGTGCCTACGTATCCTAACGGGAATGGAATCAGAGCATTCGTAGTTTCCCTCAATAAGGGTGAGGAACTCTTGACTATGATCAAGGTTCCAAAAGGAAGTAAGTGTTTATAACCATGACACTTACATGGAGTGTGGCAACTCTAATCCTAAGGCTAGAAAAAAGGGAAGTAAATGTTCATGGCAGAACACCTACATAGAGTACGGCGACTCTAATCCTAAGGCTAGGATAAATGGAGGTAAGTGTTTTTATTAAGGTTTCTGAAACAGATTATAAATATGATTAAAGTATTTTTGTATATTTGAGAAAAGAAAGAGACTTTAGTTTTAAGAAAAGAAATACTCGATAAAAGATCGAGGTTTGAATTTTCCTGATGGCGATTGCAAAAGGCGACCGACTTATGAAGGAAGTAACCACTTGACGTTGGATCAAGGGTTTGAGAAAAAGTTAGGTCGATTCCTAGTCCCTAAGGGTGTTCCTAGTAAACGAAACCACAACCAACGAAAAGGTGCAAATGTGTGCATGAGGTTGATGGTGATACTAAAAAGCAGTCGACTTACAAGTTAGGGTATATGACTTGATATATGAGTCAAGAGTGTTTTGGGTTTGGTTAATGGCGATCGTAGAAACAATCGAGTTAGAAAGGTGTTTTAAAAAAGGGCTCGATAGTGAATAGAGAATTAGTATGAAAATAGTTTGAGCGTGTAAGTGAGAAATGGATAAAACATTAAAATACAATCAAGATGAAAGCGATAAAATTATTACACTTAATGAAAATGGAGTACATTTTGTCGGATGAGGATGAAATGAAAAGATTATAAGTAAACTCAATAAAAGAAATAAGCGCAAGTACGAAAATAAAATGAGTTCATTGGTTTTGACTTGAGAAAAAGTGTCTCGACGTTCGATCTAGTATTTATTATTTTTTTAATAGAAAAAAAAGAGTTGATTTTATGTTTTTTTATCTATTACTCAATTAATTATTTTTTCTAACTAATAGAAAATAAAAGCAATAAAAATTATTAAACAATCACAAA